AATGAGTGAGAGGAGAGAAAGTAGATGCAAAGAGTAAAGAAAGTTTTTTTTTTTCTGGTAGTTGCTGAGAAAAGGAAGAGAGATATAAGTTGGCTCATCTGATGAATCATTAAGCTACAACAACCCACCATGACCATTTATGAAATCTGAGTGTGGGCTGTGGTATGTGCCACTGAAGTAATGGAGAAGCAAGATTTGTAAACAGCACATCAATTACTTGCATGTACTCTGGGACTTCTAAAAGGCTTAAAGAGGTTTCTGGAATTTTTCTTTCCTAGGTTGAATGTTCCCTCCCTCTCTCTGCTCCTGTCTACATTTTTCATGTTCTCTTTCTATATCTGATAGAAGGACGCAATTGGACTACATAGGCTCTAAGTTTTCTTCCAGTTCTCAATCTATGATCCAATGAAGATGCAACAATAAAAAGACTAGGATTAATATCAGAAGACTGGGCTTTGAAGTCAGTTCTGCTACTAATTTATTTTATGACTTTGGACCAATTACTTCACTTTCCTGAATGTTTTTCTTCCTCTATAATATGAGACAGTTAGACTTTATGATTCTCAAGATACTCATCTTAAGTTTGATGAATGCCTATGTGAATTTTCCCCAAGAGCTCTGCCCTGGAAGTAACTTCCCTGTCCCTGTAGTAGTGATGGTACAAATACTACCATCTAATTACTCCTTCATTTACTTCCTGTGGAACCAGGCCTGACAGAATCCCATGAGAAAACTCTCAATCCAACTCCTTCAGAGCCTTGCTGTCTTTCTTCTTAAAAACTGGCTCATTGTTTACTTCTTTGAAGACTACTGTGAAGGTGGTAAGAATTCTATTTATCATTATATGCTTAGATGTCATCCAGAATGGCTGCACTAATGTCTTTCCACCAACTTTCCCAAGAGGAGAGCCCAATGTTGGCATCTAGGATACTGTAAGAGAAATTTGTGCACTTGAAAGCATTTTTATAAGAGTAGTTGAGCATCAATCTTCATGGATATCGGACTTCATGGAATTTACTGCTTAAAAATAAATGTTGGTAAAAGATATAGAATTAGATGTGGACTGAAATTTAGGAGATCTGGGTTTTAGTCTTAAGTCTGGCACTAACTCTCTAAATGTCTTTGAGAAAGTCACTTGACCTTTGTTAGCTTCAGTTTCCTCCTTTCTAAAACACATCAGTTGGGGGTAGATGACCTCTAAGATTCCTCCCAACTCTGATATTCTTTGGGTAAATATATGGTGTTTTTTCGTGGATAGTGGAGGTAGTGACTAAGGAAAAATCATTGTGCAGGATCCTTATGTTTCTTGTCAGGTAGATATTTATCTGGTGATTGCCATAAACTGATGGAAAACTCCTATCTAACCATTCTCCTTTCACTGTCTGTCACTGTGTATACACATACTAAGGTATGTGATCCTAGGTAAGACAATGCCTTCAGTCTTCTCATATGTAAAATGAAGGAATTAGATGAGATGGCATCTAGCATCTTTTCTAGCTCCTATGTTTTATGATTGCCCCTGCTGGGATAGCAGTGTCTAGTTATCTGGGCTGTTATGGAGCAACTGCCCCAGAGGGTCCTCTCACAAAGATGAGGCACAAGGGGGACTAGGGAGATAGTGATTATCTAAGTGGAGACCTATCCCTACTCCTGGGGGGGAGCTTAAGCCATGCTGATAATAAACTCATTTTCCTACGTGAAGATGTCATGTAAAGAATATTTATTGGAAGGATGTTACATATACCTTGTTCTAGTTCTGATGCCCTGCTCAAACTATTCTGTGGATAAACTAGACTTTCTCTTTCAAAACATATCCATAATTTTCCCACTGCGGGGCCTTTGTTTATACTATGTCCTCCATTTTAAAGGCTAGATCACATGATTCCTTTTCCATGAAGTCTTCTCTAGTCCACTCAGGTATAATCTATCTCTCCATGGAACTCATATCAATTTGTTTCTCTTCCAAGCAGTATTTTGTTGTAGATTAAAAAAAAAATTGAACGTAATCACTTTGTACATCTCTCTACTACTATTGAAAGTTCCATGGGGTCAGTAACTGAAGTTTATTCATCTTTGCATCAGACCTTAGCATGAGATCATGGTGCTGCTTTTCAGAAGCGTTTTAGAGTTGTGTGAATGAAGTCTGTTGACTTCACATACAGTATCTAGATGGGCTCATTCTTCTATCTGTTCATATCAATCAGCACATCTTGACTCAATGGTGGTGAAGAGCCCATAAAGTAGTCAGGAGGTTACATTCAGCCTCTTCTACAGAGGAGCACAAGGAGGCTCGGAGAAGTGATTTGGCAGAGTACTCTAGCAAACAAGGGCCAAGGAGGTTCCAGAGGTAAGAATCTCCCACTTCAATTATGCACTAGAGCTCTCTGCTTCTTTCTGTGGTCTCCCAGCAGCTTCTCAGTGCTCTCCTGGGAAGTGTCGGCTTCTTCGATAATAATATCTAAGTCTTAAACAAAATAATTTTTTCTTCAAAACACTTGAATTTAGGTCACTGGGGTAGCAATTCCTGGTCCCAGAGCAGAGGGGTCAATATGAATGTGCTGAGGATTCTCTAGGTCTGGATGCCTTAGGCTTCAGAGTGGGCACACTCACATTGGCATATTTGAGGTGGAACCTTACAGGGATCTCATATCCCATATTGTTTTTGTGTTAAATGCATTTTTCTTCAGCAAAGAAAGAAGATTCTGAGAAGTGCCATTTTGGTTCAGGAATTGCTATGGTTACCCTGAACTACTAATAGCAATGTGGCTTTTCCTTAGATTTGGAATATAGCATCAAAAGGGGAGTAGTCTTTTGATGTGAGCAGTCATCAACCTTGCCTCCTTGGGAAGGCTAGTGAAAAAATGATGCTGGTAACCTGGTTAAATGATCTCCTTTGTTACAAGGGAGGTGAGACCTGAATGTGAGCGTAGGATTCATAAAGATTCCCAAATAACCCCTTTATATTTTCCGTGACTGGAGAAATAATGATCGTTAGCTAACTATCATTGATTAATAATTACTGATAAAAGAAGAGAGATTATTGCTGTTAGGTATTTTGAGTAACCAGGAAAACCAAATCTGACTTGTTTATGATTATTTGTTACAAATATTTATGTCTATTTAAATTGAAATATTAATAATGATAAAACATTTATTTCACATTTTCTGGTTTAGAGCTTTTGTTGCAACAACTCTGTGTGAAGAGGGAAATCCTGGAATTCTCCATGTGGTCTGTCTGACAGTCAAGGGCTAAGGTTTTGCCTTTGGTGAGTGGGGAAAAATTACTCCCTCTTGAATGGGATAAAATGTTTTTGCCAAATCTAGTGACCAATTTTCCAGTGTAGTTGGAGAATCATACTTTGACCACATGAACTGACATTGGTAATAACTAGGAATAGAAGGTATGTCTTACTTATGATTTAAAGGTCACATATGGTGAGTTTCCTTGTATGATTATAAGCTAGTTCTTTATGTTGTTTAAAGGAATTGGAAAATATAGATGATATTAAAAGTAAAGGTAAAAATTCAAATGAACGTTAAATAACAATAATTGACATTTACAGAGTAGTTTAGGGTTTATAAGCAGTTACCCTCACAAGGACCTTGAGAAGTAGGGATACTAGTAGTATCACTTGCATTTTATAAAAGGGAATACTGAGATTAAGAGACATGTGTGACAAATATGTATGTAAATATGAAAAGGCTGTGGGATTATTTTAGCATAACCTATTCCTAGTAGAAAAGTCCAAGAAAATTGCCTTATGAATCTGTGGTTTTGCCTATAGTTACTCGGTTTATAATTGTCAGAGGAAGGATTAGAACTGAAGGATTCCTGACTCTAAGAACAGAAATTTATCAACTTTCCCACACATCCTTAACGTTTTAGTGCCAAAGAAAAAATATTCATACTGTACTCTACAATTTAGACCTAAATCTACCAGTAACAATTTTTAATTAATTTAATGTTATTCTATATTTAAGCCACTTGTAGCTTAAAGAGAAAGATGTCCAAACTGGTTTAGTTCCCCTATGCCTTCCTACATGCCTCTATCCCAAGACAGTTTGAGGTAACACTTATAGGAATCTTGAAGAAAGAAAACCACAATATGTGTAAATACGGTTTTGGGATAACCTTCCAAATAGTTAAGTAATGAAAGTTATCATCCAATTCCTCCCTGCAACATTCACTTCAAGGATTCAAAGCAACTCCTTCTCAGAGATCAATATTGAGACTATAGTCTGGATAATAAAGAATTTTCCTTTGAATGGAATAGAGGGCACCTCTCCTGGGTGGGTCATAGGCCAGTCCCTTCAAAGGATAGGGAGGGCAAGAACTAAAAGAAGACAAGAGGTCTTCTTTGTTCAACCCTCAGTTTTTGTCCTTAATCTATCATTCATCTTTCCTGGGATTGGAGGAAAGTCTAGAAAGAGCTTTTAGAACATAGAAAATATTATATCTTCACAATTTTAGATTTACTAAAAAGGGAGCTTTAAATATACTTTCACAATGGATATAAGGCATATATTAGGGGAAGAAGGCACAATCCCTGCCTTCATATAGGAAAAAGAGGCAAAGCCAAAATTAATGAAAAAAATGTGCACTATAAAATAGAAGAAGGTAAAGAGGATGGAAAAAAAGAAATGACTATTATTGGGAAGGGATGATGTGGATGAAGGGAACTGGTGAATGGACTGAATTTTCTATCATCTCATTTTCAACTGATGCCACTGTTGTTATTTTTATTATGTGATTCTTGGTCAATCGATAAACATTTATTAAGTATCTACTGTACCAGATGCTGGGCTAATTGCTGGGGGCATTTACAATTTAGGATCCTCTCATAACAAACATTTTATGTATGGTTGAAATATATTTTGAACTTTAATGTAATCTGTGCATTTTTCCTCTGCTAAGACTCAACTGATTTGTCTACAAATTCCATGAAGGGGACTATGCTGTGTAAAACTTCCTCCAAGTGATACAAGAGACATTGTCTTGAATGGCATTGACTAATCAAACCCTGGTGACAGAGTTTGTTCTAAAAGGTTTCTCAGAGACACCTCAACTCCGGATATTCTTGTTTAGCACCTTCCTTTTTCTTTATATCACGGCCCTCACGGGCAATATTCTCATTGTCATGGCCATCAGTCTAGACTCAGGTCTCCATACAGCCATGTATTTTTTCCTTGCCAACTTGGCCATTTTAGATATTGGCTGCACAACCACAGTTCTGCCCAAATTGCTAGAAAACTTTATTGTGGAGAAGAAATCCATCTCCTATGATGGCTGCATGACCCAGTTGTATTTTCTCACCTGTCTTTTGGGGACTGAGCTTCTACTTTTCACAGCCATGGCTTATGACAGATATGTGGCCATCTGCCATCCCCTACATTACAGTACTATGATGAGTAGGATGGTTTGTATGTTTTTAGTGAGCAGCGTGTGGGCCATTGGTGCTCTCAGCTCATTATTACATACTGGTCTAATGCTACGATTAACCTTTTGTGGTCCTAATGAAATTAAACACTTTCTGTGTGAAATCCCCTCTTTGCTGCTGCTTTCCTGCAGCTCCACATATGTGAATAACATCATGATCGTCGTTGCAGATATGTACTTTGGGGTGATCAATTTTGTGCTCACTATGGTGTCCTATGGCTTTATCATCTCCAGCATCCTGAAGATCCGCACCACAGAGGGGAAGAAGAAAGCCTTCTCTACCTGTTCCTCTCACCTCCTGGTTGTCAGCATGTATTATACCACAATTGTATGTACTTACATTTTTCCAGGCTCTGGCTCTTCAATGGATAATGGTAAAGTGGTGGCTCTCTTGTACACCACAGTTGGCCCCACCTTAAACCCTCTTATATATACTCTGAGGAATAAGGATTTTAAAACTGCCCTCAAGAAAATGTTTCCATTCATTCATTAAATAATTGGAATTGGCACAGATAAATTACTTAGAATGTTATTCCTGTAGTGACATTTTGAGTATCTGAATGTAAGGGATAATATAAATTTTTAAATTTCTTTAATTTAATTCATAGAATTATCTTTCCCCTATATTTAGGATGTTATACTTGGATGGAATAACTAGGTGGCATAGTGGATAGAGTGCCAGGTCTTCAAATCTGGCCTCAGACACTTACAAGCTATGTGACCCTGAGCGAATCACTTAGCCCTGTTTGCCTCAGTTTCCTTATCTTTAAAATGACCCAGAGAAGAAAATGTCAAACCGCTCCAATATCTTTGCCAAGAAAACCCCAAAATGGGTCATGAAGAGTTGGACATGACTGAAAATATCTAAACAACAATAGATACTTAGATGCCTTCCAAAGACACACTGAAATCCTGCAGTGCATAGAGAATGCCAGGGCAATAGATTACAGATGTCTCAAAGCAGTTTTCTAAGTTTTCTAAGGATATAATGAGTTCCCAATGTCTAGATAGGATCATAGAGGGGCTTCTTGCTTTAGGCTGGTCTTGATGGCCTCTGAATATTCTTCTTATTCTGAGATGTTATGATTCTATGATAACATTGGGATATAAGGTTATTAAAGGAGATGGGCCAGCCATGTGGTGAGAACAGGAGATATCAAAGTATGCCAAAGGCAGGAAAATTCTAAAAAGTGACCTCAAGGAAGGCCTTAATCAAGTAGGATTGACTTACTTTCTGTGTCAGATATAAGGAAGAATATGAATAGAAATCACAAAGGATGGGAAAGTACAGGTGGGCTGTGATCCACACAGTGGATAAAAAGAATACCCATATCAATGAAACTCTGGATTCACTAAAGAAAGATTAGAGAAAAAGGACTTGAGAAGAAAAATATAATAGAAAAAAGCAGGAGATGAAGGACCTGAGGAGAGGAAAGGAGTAGGAGAAAGAATGGCAGTTGTGATGACACAATGTTATAGAGGATATTATGGTTACTTGTGGAGAATGAGGTGGTCCTTATGACTAGTTAAATGTAAGAGAGAGGTCAGCAAAAGGAAATTTGTTGTTGGCCATCGTTAAGTAGTACTACAGAGCTGCTGATGAAGCTGTCATTGTTGTTTGTCCTTCATTTTTGAAGAGGACTGCTGATATCATGGGTGATAGCTTGACTTGTGTGTGAATTGGATTTAAATGAAGCAGAGTTGCACAAAGTTGTGGACCTTACTATGTCTTCCAGAGTCATCAATGTCCAGTGACAAGAAAAAATCAGGACAACTGTGTTGAGTTAAGGGGTGAACAGAAGGTGTGGAGGAGTTACAGTACTGTGGTAGAAACAACTGACTCTCAGTTTTCCAAAGCAGTTCTTCAGGGGGGCTACAAGCAAGAAAGACAAGAACTAAGGAACTCACTTTCAATAAATATGGAAAATTGGAAGAACTTCTCACTGACATTTCTTGGGTGTGTAAGGTTTGTATTTCTGCATTGCAAAATGATTTCCGTTTATGCTGAAACAGCCAACTGATCTCTGCCTTATTAGGAAAGATAAAAGGTTCAAGGAATATGTCTTTCAACATAGGATTAGGGCCAATGATGTATTCCTTTAAAATACATAAAGAAAGGTTTCCATGTAAAAACAAATAAGAAAAGGTAACTGAAGAGGCAGAGGGGAATACTTACCAATGTTAGAAGATTTAAAGGCGAAAAAAAGGAGAAAGGGAAGAAGAAGGAGCACTAGGCAACCGAAAGAAAAGGAGAGATGACTGATTCATGTTTTACTTCTCTTTGCCACAGGCAATGGCTTTTTGACAGTTCCAAGGACACAGTAGAATGCCCCACCTTTCTCCCCTCAACCCCTTAGCATCATTGACTTCCCTCAAGGTTCCAGTTAGGTGCTAACTCCTATATGAAGCCTTTCTCTCCCCTCCACCCCAGACATTAAGGAGCAGTAACTAAAACAAGTAAGGAGATAAGAAGCCAACTAGCAGTCCTACACATGCTTACGCTACCTGGGCTAGCTGAGCTGTAGCCTGAGTTACTGAAAGAATGAGCAGATATTATTGTTGATCTTTGAGAGATTGTGGAGAACAGGACAGGGAACACAGCACTGGAAAAGGGCAACTTTCCTAATTATGAAAGAAAGGCAAGGGATTGACTCCTTAAAGCTAGAAGTTAGTGAGCTTAATTTCCATTTAGGTACTGTGATTAAAGGAATGGTTACAGCTGGAAAAGGAAGTAGCAAATAACAACTAGAATGACTTCATTTAGAATAGGACATGGCAGGCTTTTTTGTTGGGGTAATTAAACAAGATCAGGAAATGACGTATATATGGTTTGCTTATCACTGAGCAACATGCTTGGTTAATTTTTCTAGTCCTATTCTTATGGAAAAGACGGAAAAAAAGTAGACCAGATGCTTGTTCAATGAGATATATTCAGAACTGGTTGATTGATGTCATTTAAACTATTAATGAGCGGTTAAATGTCAACTTCAATTCAATTCAATAAATATTTAAGTACCCACTATGTGCCAGGCACTGTGCTAAGTGCTGGTTACAAAAAGAGGTAAATGACAGTTCCTGCCCTCAAGGAGCTTACAATGTAATGGAAGGGGAAATATGCAAACAAATATATACAAAGCAAGCTTATGCAAGATAAAGGGGAAATAATCAACAGAGAGAAGGCACCAAAACTTTTTTTTGGTTGCAAAAAATCACCTTTATTTTTAGACAAACAACAAATATTAATGTAATCATCAGTACTCAATATATGCATATTTTGTTCAAAATCCAATAAACTAAAAGATGACCAGGGGAGCTAAACCACGCAAGAAGGCACCAAAATTAAGAGGGATTGAGGAAGGCTTTCTGTAGGAGATGGGATTTTAGTTGGGACTTAAAGGAATCTAGGGAGGACAGTAGTCAGAGTGGAGGAGGGAGAGCATGCCAGGCATGGGGAACAGCCAGAGAGAATGTCCAGAGCTGAGAAATGGAATGTCTTGTGTCGCAGCCGCTGCTGTAGAGAGCATGAGACCAGCTCAATGCTCCGTAACCCGGAGACGCATGGATGAGGCGGGAGACAGTAAGATGGCAGAAGCTCCTGTTTATTGTTAGCTGGGTGTGGCCTTTATAGCCCTCAAGGCACCTTGGGATCGCATGATCAGAGCCCTACAGCCAGTCCTAGCTATCCCACTCCGCATGAAAGCCTCAGGTCCGGGGTGTGTCCGGGGCATGCAGGGAGGCACTCAACCAGTCAGAGGAGGGCCGAGCCAGTCATGATTGCTGCGTGTCCACAAAGGAGAGGTCAGCTAAGACTTCCTTGCTTTCATGCAACAGACTGTGACCCTCAACTCCCCACAGGGAGGAACCCTAACGTGGCAGAGCACCATTCCCAAACGAATCCCGTGACAGTCTTGTTTGTGGAACAAGTAGGAGGCCAGTGTCACTAGATCAAATAGTACATGTTGGGGAGTTAGGTGTAAGAAAACTAGAAAGGTAGGAGGAGGCTAAGGTATGAAGGACTTTGAATTCCAGAGCATTTCATATTAATTCCAGGAGATGATGGGAAGTCACTAGAGTTTATTGAATAGGGACTGTCACTTTAGTGCTTGAGTGGAGAACGAATTGGAGTGGGGAGAAACTTGAGGTAGGCAGACCCACTAGCAGACTATTGCAGTAATCAAAGAGTGAAGTGCTGAGGGACTAAACTAGAGTGGTGGCAGTATTAGAGGAGAGAAGGGGGGATATTCAGGAGATGTTGCAAAAATGAAAATAGTGGAGCTTAGCAACAGCTTGGATATGGCAGGTGAAGGGGGAAATTGAGAGACAGTGAATAATCCAGTATGAAAGAAGTCTCCAGTGGAGTATCCCAGGGATCTGTGCTTGGAACTGTGCTATCTTATTGTTTTATCAGTGAGTCATATGAACACATCAATAGCATTCTTATCAGATTTACAGATGACAGGAAGTTGAGAAGTATATCAAACATACTACAAGAATCAAGATCGAAAAAGAATTTGATAGGCTAGAACAAAGGGCTAAATTAAATTATACGGAACCCAATAATATAAATGCTGTCTTATTTTCAGTGAAAAATGACACAATACTTGATGATTTTTCATTCAATTGGAGATTGGGAATAGCAAGTAAGAAGGTAAATGTAATAAAAGATAACCTGCGACAGAGTCAAAGATAAAATACAACAATACTGCTCAATAAATATTTATGGATATAAATTATATGCAGTGTATATGGACACATTTAATTCAATCCATTAAAATAATTATTAAGCACCTACTATGTTCTCGCTATTGTTATGTATTCTGTGGTTACAAATACAAAACAGCATAAAACAGTGTCACTCTCTAAAAGATGCTATTCTTCTGGGGTGGGGGCAGAATGTAACATAAACATGTAACATTAATACAAAATAATTTGAAGTTAGGAGAGAAAATTAGTTACTGGGGATGAAAAGGAAGAGAAAGATTTCATATAGCACTTAAGTGGAGCCTTGAGGGAAGTGAAGGATTCTAAAGGGCTGAGGTGAGGAGGGAGGGAATTTGTGTGAAGAATACATTTTTGAATTATGCCCAGTCAAGCTAATGGAGAAACTGGCAGACAGTTCAGGGAGTTATGCAGCTGGAGCACTTACACTCCACTGAAGCTCTGAATACTCAGGATACCACCTGCACATACTCATTCCCTAAGTGGGATCTCAGCCTCACTCTTAAAAAGATATAGTTCCTGCTCCTTGGGGATCCTGAAACCTCAAAATTAATAGAACTTTCTTCTTTCCTAGTAGGTGTAGTTCTCTCTTAATTTCAACTCATTATAAAATGCTTTCTTGTTTACAACAATGGAAGGAAGGTAGGCTGACATCAAAATACTTTGTGATTTAAAAAAGTGATGATGAGTATAAAGTCATGGTGGCAGACGGTCCTTCAAATCCAACTTGTAAAGCATTTACTGTATTCTAAATTTGTACTCATGGCAGACTTG